GAATGTCCAAAGATTCAGTGCAAGGACTCCTCTGGGTGCTCTGAAAGTGTTTATGAACTCGTTACCCATTCTTTCGTCACTATCTTCATCGACATAGTATACGAATCAGGTCCGGCCTTGATATGCTAGTCATTCGTCTTGTATCACGAATCCTGAATCCTCGTTCATAAATTGGTCATCACTACTCCGTGACTTCAAATAGATTTCAATGCAACATCTTCACTTTAAAGTGCCTAAATATCAATAACCGGGCACCGGCGTAATAAAAGCAAAAATACGTGTCTAATTATTTTTTGTCCTCTACAATATAAACTCGAAAAAAATCGAAAATGATCGTACAAGCAAGGTCACTTCCCTTGTTAGTTTGATTTGATTTGACTCGAATCATTGAACAAAACGAATGTAAATTGTGCCCAATTTTGCACAAGAACAACATTATTGAAGTTATCAGTTTTGTGCTCAATTTTGACAATGAAAATGATTTATTCAATTTTCGTGTTTGTTGTCTTTCAGGTTTATCATCCGCAATCCGTGTTTTACCAGAAGGAACAATAACAACACCAAATCATACATCATCTGGTTCACCTATTCCAATAGCATCAAGTCATTCTTCTGGTCCATTGGGAATTTTAGGTGGTTCAACACCAATACCAACATCAACCCTATCAACCTCATCTTCCCACCATCATTATCATTCCCGATCTTCATTACCACAACCTGAACATTGTTTGGAAACACTTCTACGTAATATTGAAGGGCTTTTAGCAATAGCAGCACACAATGCAAGGCAGCAACAAAGTCAATTGAATCAACAAAAAGGTAAATTAAACATTCATTTATTTTCATAAAATTAATCAACCAACAGAAACTTCCAATCAAAGCTATTTCTCACAACATTTCAACCAACAAGTTTAAATGTTAATGTTGCTAATATTATCTTTACATGATATCTTGTTGCTGTTTTTGTTGACAAGTTGAAGCCCGAAAAAAAAGATTGACAACAACAGCCAATTGGTAAAATCAACTTGTAACTGTCAACTGATTGTTGATGGTTCGATGATAGATTTACTCTGATTAGTAATGTACAAATAAACTTGTATTACTGATGACTGAGTAAAAATAACTGTGAACCCATGATGATTGATCAACTGAGGAAAAGGAAAGAAACTCAAACAACAAATATCATCTTCTTAATTAGCATTTCCTTTGAAACATTGATTTGTTTTAAAATTCAAATCGACTATTGAATTTCACCAAATGAAACTTGACCATACCAAATGAGCTGAGCAAACAAACTGTTCATGAGCCAAAATAAGTTTGATAAAATATTTACTCTTAACTAGACATTTGAGTAAAAAGTGATTTCCTTTCATGGTAAAAGCAAAATGGCTTATTAACAATTTTTTACTTTCAACATTTTTCCCTGAAAATTTTGTTCCATCATTGAACATTGCTGATGATTGCCAATGTCATTTACCTTGCATTTCTGATATCATTATCATAATTACTCTTGAATTTCGTGTTTTCCTCTTTCACCTCTTTTCTTGTTTTTCATTTCAATTTAACTTACCTTTTAAAAGCTCCACCTAACCTGACTCAATCAATCAATCATCATTTTCATGGGATCCGGTCTCATTACTAAACACAGAACAAAATAATATCAAGTCAACCAATCACCAAAAACATTGAATTTAATATAATGATAATTTTGCTTCTTCGTCATCTTTACATTTTCTTTCATCTTTTTTTACCTGATTCAGTGTCCTCCTTCATGATAATCATTTTAATCATAATGATAATGATGATGTAAACTCTCTTTCCATCTTCTATTCCAAACCATTTTCATTGGAAACTCTCATTTGCATACCTGATATTATTCATAATTTTGATAGTTTCTCTTCTTTCTGCTTACCTTTCGTTTTTCGGTTCACATTGACTTTCATCAAAATCCATCCAATAATCATTTTGAATAAACTTTTTTCTTTGAATTTAATTTTTCTTTCCCTGATCATCATGTTCATCTCTTTTCCATCCATTTACATTCTTGACATTTGATTGGTTTGAGGTTTGCATTTTTGGCGGTCACCATTTTTACGCAAATTTAGATAATTGGATTGTAATATTGCGTGTCATATCATCATCTTTATCATCATCATTATCTTCATCTCTATTATCCTATACAAGATGAAACATTTGTTATCCTTTCATCTTCACGATCTTTACCTGTTTCCCTTTCAATCCATTCTTTGCCAGCAAAAAAAACCACAAAAGCCCACAATAATCAATACATCTTCATCTTCAATCTCATCCTTTCATCTTCAACAAGTTTCTAATGTTAACTCAGCAAATTCAACAATCAAATCTTAATTACCATTCAAATGAATCTTCATCTCTGTTTCTCATCTTATCTTCTTACGATGAAAAAAACTGATCATTTATCAAGAAACATTGAAATTGAACAATAGGAATTAAGGTTCATTTTTCACAAAATGCAAACTCTTGCAATGATTAATTAGTTTTGATTTTGTTTAAACACAGTTTGCAATTAAGGTTGAAAATAAGATGAAAAACAAAAATCATTATAAGATTAATCATGAAAGGAAAGGAAAAAGGATAAAACTTAATAATCTGAATCGAAAGTTTCACTCAAATTCAAATGGTTGTACAATTAAAAGGAAAAGATGAAAAGTGTTGAACAACAAAACACTATTAATAGGGAAAAGTATTGGAGTAAAGTTTTCACCTTATCATTATTAAACTTGTGCCTTTTTCATTCACTTGAAACTTTTTGTTTCTTTCACTGATATAATTGATGTTTCACACCTCTCTCCTCATCATCATCCCCATCATCTTCATCTGCCTCCTCATCCTGTCTCAGTGAGAATAGATGATTACAGCATAAATTGGAAGCTAAATATTTTTGTATAATTACAACCGTTAAATATGCTTTAATCCTTTCCTTTTTTTCATACTTCTTTACGCTCACAGAATTATCATTATCACTCTTTCCATTTTTTCATTGTCTCCTCATCCTCATCCTTTTTTTACACTTTATATTCACTCATCATACTTTCATCTTTTTTTCCCTCTTAATCTAACTAAAAGTTGATTCTCTGTTGGCCATTTTTGTCTACCAAGAAAAAGGCAAAAATTACATTTAACTCTCATCAGGATTAAATTATTTTTTATACGCTTTCATGATTTTAATTCATAAAATGAAATGCGAAAATCAGTTGAACACAAAAAAAAGGGTTGAAACAAGACAAAAAAGAAACATTGAAATGTGTAAACTTTTCCAGGTTCAAGGATCATCATCTTAGTAAATTAACTTCAAGATGATGATAATGATAATAATAATGATAAACTAACAGAAGCAGAAAGGGTTAATTTACTTTGTATAAAAAAAGGTAAGAATCCGATTAAATCGATTAAATTAGAAAAACATGAAAAAATGAAAAATTCATTTATGAAATTGTTGTATAACAGCGAAACAGGTCCAATGAGAATCAGAGTTTTTATTCTTGGAGTTTTTTTTATCACTGGGAATGAATTTCACTTTTTATCACTTTTTCAAATCATTCCAGTTCTCCTTATAGGTTAATATCAGTTTTATCTGGATAATATGAAAACTCTGAATTTGTAATTTTCAAGATTCTCAATTCAATATTTTCTGAAAAGAAATTTTCATATCATCAGATTAAATTGCATCATTTCAAGCATCTTATAATAATTGTTGTATTTTTTGTCATCAAACAAAAACCTTTACAGGTAATGATGATAACTATCATTATGGTTATGGATAAAGCATTTTCCCAAACTTATTCTGCAAACAATAAAGGTACAATAATGATAAATTGGGCAGAATTTTTCACGACTTTTGATTGAATAACGGATAAACTAATCAGCTCGAATGTTGTCGATATTGATCAACTTGTAATGTTATTCACTAAGGACATTAAGTTGATCGTCAAAAGTACAATCTCAACTGTAATGTGAATGAAGAAACAAAGAAAACATTGAATGGCAAAAATTGAATACAATAGGCATGTTATTATCTTTAAATTTGGGTTCCTTTTTTGTTGAAAACATTAAAAGTTAATTGAACAAAAATCATTTTCAATTGTGATCAGACTGATAATGATGATGTATATTAGTTGAATAGAATGCAAAATGCATGATTAATTCAAAAGGAAGATAACTTTTTGACTCAATGTTGAAATGTGAAGCATCACTTTAAAGCGATTCAAAATGAATACCTTTCATCCTCTCTATCAGTTTCTTTATCTTCATTTCCTACCCTTTCAAATTTACCTTTCCAGTTGATTACAATGCTCATCCATCATTTGGTTGCTTGTTTCAATGATTTTCATACCCTTTGCCTCTCTCCTCATTCCCATCTTATAACATGATAAAAAAAAGTAACTCCCTTCGTCTTTTTTATGCTCATATTATGAAAATGTGCTCATTTCACTTTCCCATTTCGCCTGTTTATAAATATATTATTTTCAAAGATTAGACTCAATGCGAATCCCATATACATGGTGAATGTAAAAAATGGCAAAATGTGAAAATAAAATGTTTTATGAAGAGAGAAGAGAAGATTGAGAATTCATGATTAACCCTCAACATTTGAATTGATTGAGCCAAGGGTCCGATCAATTCTCTTCACTTGGCATATTTTGATTGATGTAATCGTCTAGTATTTTTTGTTCATTACTTTCATTTCAATGGTTGAATGTTTAAAAATGAAAACATTTCACTCCATATTACTATTATATATGCATTCTGCTTTTCCCATTCATTGGGAATTTATCAAATGCATCAACTTTTTTTTCCAATCAGTTTCCAAATACTCAAGTGAAATAACTCGTAACACAATAATGTAACCACAATTTAGTCAACATTACAATAAAAACACAACTCAAACAATTCAATTTCAAAGGTAACTTTTGTTTTGCCATTACAATGCTTTTTTCAAACCTTTTACCATTAAATGTCTTTTCCTTTCCCATTAACATTACACTTTGCATATTCATTTGAATGGCAAAACTTGATGAGTTTAATTATGTTTCAACCTTTAATTAATGATTAAAGGCCCTTTGATTAAAACAAAACGAGTGAAAATTTCCAAGTTTCATTGTTATTTAAATGTCATTAATTTGCAACCATTGTTAATGACAAAACTCAAAACAATCAAACTGAATCATTTTCACAATCAATTAATCACACTCTTAATGATACAATCATTGTCTAAGACTGAAGATCGTCTAAATAGTTGCTATTTTTGTTGCCATTCAATGATTTAAGGTTAACCTTTTTTTTCAATTTCATTTTAGAGGAAAGTACAAAAGTGTGAAATGAAATTATTATCAACATTTGTTGACATGGAACCAAACCGTTAAGGAAACATTAGTTTTTCCATTCAATTGAATGGGCTCATATTTTGTATTCAAAGAAACCATTATATCCCAATATGAAGTGACATTTATGACCTTAGAGTATAACATGAAAAAAAGAGAGAAACTGTTGAGTAACTTGACTTGTGTCAACAATATCACATCATTATCATCATTACTTTGACCCTCCTCCTGTGTCTCCATGTATACCTGTTAACATGTATTACTCTCTGCCTTCTGTTGATCATCTCAAATGATCTTCCCTGGTGTTTGGTACATTGGTCAAAATGATTGTTATCCTGATGATCATGATCATGATCATTGTTGTGTCAACCAAAATTGACAATTGATTTGAACACCCAAGTCAAGTATCATTTTGCAAATGCAATTTTAAACTGACAAATAGAGATGAGAAAAGCGTAAAGACTCTGAAAATGAAAACAATCAGGAAACATGAAATACCAGGAACATGATGATAATGAAAATGTACGATTTTTCATCGTTTCTCTTTCATTGTTATCATTATTTTTCGTTTATTTTTTCTCTCTCCTCTTTTTACTTTCAACTTTTTTCTCCTCTTTTTTGTCCTTTTTTTAGCTCAACAATCATAATTTTTCATTAATCTGATACTTTTACCGTTGATCCCATCGGAATTGGTATCAATGAATATTGTGGCTTTACAAAAGTGAATCAAAAGGGAATCATCATCCAGTTTCATCTATTTTTTTCTTGTCCTTTTACCTCATTCCCAGTCAATTTCAATGGTTTTATCATCTGTTGGCTTTTTTTATCCTCACTTTTTTTTCTCTTCTGTTATTGATGAATTTTCTCTGGATTATACTGAACTCCCCTGAGTTTTACTTGCAACTAAGGTCAAGATTATTGTTTTTATTGTCAACTTTTTGCAAGTTTATCAATAAAAATTATTTCAAAGTAATCATTGATTCTTAAGCTTTGGAAATTTTTTTCATCAAAAATGACTTTTTCTTCCAACTTTAAGTTAAAGAGTTAATTTAGATTGGTAATTGTTTAGTTGAGTTATGAGTATTGATTCACTGATGATACAGGGAATGAAAGAAAATAAACAAAATGGAGAAAATCAATTGACTGACTATTTTTGCAGGGCATGAAAGATGAAAAGGATTCTGATGGAAATCCCTTTAATCTTCTTTGAAAAGTGAGCAACAAAAGTGTATAAGGTTATAAGTTAAAGGCCAAATATTTGCACGACAAGAATCAAAGTGAGAAGGAAAACCTTAAATGAACTTTGATATTGACCATATTTCACGCAACAATCAACTTGAATATTGTTTTCAGTCCTTTTCAACCCTCAGATCTTTCAGCTTATTATTGTACAATAAATATTATATTTCCATAATATAAAGCATGTCTTGATGAGAGAGAGTAAAGATAAGGTGAAAAAGGATGATGATAAAAGCAGATATGAAAAGATCTGACCAAACACAAGTAAACCATCAAAAGAGCATTTCCTTTAGGGATTCAGTGAAAAGGCATTTTCATGTTTACATCAAGTCAAAATCCTTAAACAAACCAAACTTGTTAACATCAATTTCCTTCATCTGAATCAACGATAAAAAACATTTTACCGATAATTCATAGAACTTCACTTTCAACAATAATTCAACCCAAACTTTCGATCAAACTTTACTTTTGAAAATGAAAACTCAATTGAATTCCGAATATTATTTTCGCGATAAAAAGTTTTCAACTTTGATTGTTTGAGTAAAATTGATTTGTTATTCAATTGCAATCAATGAACTTTGATAACGATAACGTAACGATCAAGAATGAATAGCATGAAATGGAAATATTTACAAATTAAAATCGTAAAAAGATTTTGAATTGTTTAAAGTTCATTTTTCATTGAATAAAACAATTCCTGCCTCACACATTGATGAGCAAATAAATGTTATTCATTTTCAAACAAAAGAATTGATTTAATCAATCAAGTTGCTTTTTCATTGTAAAAATTAGAATCAAGTTAAACCATGAAAGCAAATTAACAAGACATGAAAAATATCATGCTGAGTGAAAGTCAAAAATAACATAAAAATTGAGAAATTGAACAAAATTGAAACTGGCAGAATCTGAGAAGCAAATTATGAGCCAAAAGTTTTCCCATTCAGATGATGCTGTATTGATACAATGCACATAACACAAAAATTGATAACAAAAAAGATTCAAAATTACAGTCATGTTTTAAAGATCCAAATTACCGTAAAATTGGATTGTTTCACGCTTTTAATACAATATATATTTGAAACTAATAATGATAAAATAACCAGAAAAAATGTGATAAGGAGAAGAGAGAGAGAGAGAAAAATGAACAAAAAATGAAAAAAAACGAGATTCTCTTTTCATATCATTTTACTTTTTCCTTTGACTCAATGCTTCAGGCAATACAATTTAACCATCAATTAGTCTCTTACTCTCATCATCATCATAATTATCATTGACTTGTATTGTTAATGTTAACAATAACAACAATTTAATGATTCTCCATCAACTTCTCATTGAGAAAACAAACTTTTCTCCAACTTTCTCATCTTCATCATGTTCATCATTTTCAAAACGGAAATAGTTGTTTCACAGTTTCCTATAATTCCTTTTCTCATCATTTCATCTTATTTCATCCTATAACATCATCTTGAGTCTATACATTTTACTGTTTATTAATATTATTATTATTGCAACTATAATAGTAATAAATGTTTTCTCATCCAAATCATTTCATGGTTCATTCCTTCCATCATCCATCAGGCCAACATTCAATTGAACCAATAAAATGAACCAAATGAATATTATTGGTTCAAATGCAACTAATTATTTGATCGACAAACCTTTACACCCTTTAAACATGATTTATCATCAACATTAATTTTCATTTTTACTTTTGAATAACATTAAAAGTAAAATGTTCATTTTCTGTTGAAAAGTATTGAAATAATATTGAAAAATTGAGTTTACTATTTTCCCTCGTTTCATTTAAATATTTGACTTGAAAATTGAAATGAAAATTATGATTAATATCAACTCGTATTCAATGTTTACCATTATTATTGCCATCATTATTTTAGTTCAACATTAAATTCATACAAAAAAGGTGAAAAGTAAAGACAAGAAATGTTTAAAGATGTTTCATGTAAATCTTTACATATTATTAAACCAGTTTAGTTATAATTGAATTAACTTTTTATGCTCTATCACGAACTTTAAAGTTATCATAATCATTTGTTTCATTTTATTTTCCATCAAAAATAATGATAATAATAATAATGATAATAGTGATAATAATGTTTAAACTATCAAGTTAAATGATTTGGGATAACAGTTGATAAACACGAGAGAAAAGCTTGATTGTTGGAAGCAACTTGAGTGTGCAAGTTACATTTATTTTCATTCATTAATTGTTTCCATTTTTTCCATTTTTTCTTCAATTCTTCTTTTATTGCACATTTTTCCCTGTTGATTTGCTGTTGGTTATTAGCCGAATTAAAAGCTGAACTTGGAGCTCAAGTGGATAGAGAGCGTGAATTAAAAGAGCAACTTGAAAGGCAATTAAATGAAGAGCAAAAAATCAGATGTAAGTAATTAATTGTCACAATTAAATTTATACCCAATTATCTGTTGATTTTGTTTTCAGTTAACCCCAAAAATGTTGCTAAACAAATCTTTATTCACAATTAATTCTCGATTCAATCTCATGAGAACAATTTTCATCAGTTGAATTTGTTTCCTTTTGCCATCTTTTTCATAGACAAATTGCATGCTAAATTGAAAGCGAAACTTGAGTAAATTGAGAAAAAAGTTGAACCTCTTTTTTTTGGCCACTTTTTTGGCACTTAGTTGGTTCCATGTTTCACTAGGCTAGAGTATAATATTTATATCCATAAAATAAATATATATTTAGTTAGATAACTTTTGCGTCTTGAGTTATTTCAAGCTCAAAATTGGATTGAATGCTTGGTTTAAGCTGGTTATTATCATAAATATTTAGCTGTTGATTTGGTTCAACTTTGCTTACTTTTGTGTTCACTTTTGGCTTCAACTCATTCATTTACCAGAAAAAATATCAAATTATTTCGTTTCTTTTTATTCATTACTCAATTCAATCGAAAGCCATTTACATTAATTTTTCAAGTTTATGGGTCAACTGTTGCCTTAAGTTTACCTTTGGGTTTAATGAAACAAAATGCAATTAGAATTGGCTGTTAATGTTAATAAATGATTACAATTGGCATCAATTGTTAACATTGAAAATTGATTATTCAATTGATTTGTTTGTTTCTTTTAGTATTATATCAAAAGCGATTCAAAAAGGAACGTCGATTTCGCCGTAAAATTGAACATGATTTAGAGCAGTTACAGCAGAAATCGAAGAGCGATTCATCGACAAACTCATCTCAACTATCGCCCACATCACACTCACCACCTTCACATCACAATCAGCACCTTCACCACCAGCAATCTCAACAAAACCAATCATCAAACCGTTCATCGTCACCTTCAGATCAACAGCAATCTCAACGAGAAGATTCTGTCAAGCAACAATTAAATTCAATTAAATCATCATCTCCACCCAATTCACCTCCAGCAAGCAACGGATCCCATGCAAGTCATGAGAAAGGTCACGAATCATCGGGTGAACTTTCAGGAGAATAGTCAATCACCAAAATCAATGTTATCATCAATGACTTCACAAAAGACAGTTAAATGTGTACAATGTGTGTCAGTTTCAAATCTCTCTTTTTTTCTCGCTTCTCTCAGGTGATTCAAGTTTCCTTACATTGTAAATAGCTCACCTTCATTATCATCATTATCATCATCATCAGCTTAATCCACAGCCAAGATGAAAAGGATAAAGTGACAAACGTTTTAAGTGTTATAATAAGCATCAATATTTCATTGAGGAATCAACAACAAATGGAGAAACTTGAAGTGTTCACTTTGAGTTGATCACTTTTTTATTAAACAAAAACGCAAAACCATCAACAATTAACCAACTAAACATTACAATTATGATTACTACATTAATTATTATCTTTATTATCACTTATTTTAAATCTTTTACTTTACCCTTTTGCTTTTGCTTACCAAATTAGTAGTTACAGTCCATTAACAAGTCAACATGAAAAGTAAAAAAAATCAGATTTAAATATTAGAAAAGGTTTTCTTATTCAAACCTTGATGCAAATATAAATGTATGCAGAACGGACTTTTGAACCTTTGATCGTAAAGTCGACTGATTATCAAACCTTTGATAAAATGAATGATCGAATCAAAATTTCATCAAAGTCTGCCTGTATATTGAAAATTATAAAACAATATGAATATTGATGATAATAAAAATGGTAATAATACTGATAATAGTTACGCTTAAAAAATGAGAAAAACTGGAAAAAAATGTTTCCATTTAGATTTTTCTTGCTTTTCATTTATTTCCTCTCCATTTTACCTCATTTAATTTATCAACTAATTGTCATCATCACCATTGCGATAAATGAAAAGCAAAAGGAAGATTCTTTGTATCAATTTCGTTCTGTTTTATCATTTACTTTTCTCTTCCCTCCAAATTCCCAAACTTTGTATTCGCCTCAGCATCTTCTCACAACTCATCACCATAGTCAACATGATCCAACCATCAACTGAACAAGTCATCTTCAGCGGTCATCTTTAAAGGACATCTTTGGGTTGATGCAATTATTGTTATTACATGCTGATGATTATGGTGATGAAGGTGAGAAGATAATCTTTCCCTTCATTTGTTTCTTAAACAAAAAGCCAAGCAAGTGATATAACAATAATGATACAAAATATGTAATTGTAAATCAGATAACAAAATCTTTTAGCACAGCAAAGACAAAAACAACAAAATTGCGCCAAAATTTTGACAAAACTAAAAATGTTGTGTTTCAAATATAATCTCAATCTACTAAAATGATAATCATGTGTCCAAATTATTTATCCATAAAAGGTCAACGAAAAGGTTAAATGAATAAACAGAAGACCCAAAATTAGCGAATTTCAATTTCGAGTTAACATTGAGACTCGAGTTACTCTCAAATGAATTATATTTTCATCAAAAAGATGACAAAACTTGGCAACTAAAAGTAAAGATTGGAGGGAAACTAAAACGACATTAAATTAACCTTTTGATAAGGTTGCCAATTAATCGTGAATTAAGTTGATTAAACTGGCAGATGAGTTGAGCAACATGAAGTTTCAGCAAGTTTACCTAAGAAGAAAAAAATAGCCAAAAAAATGAACATTTCTTGTGTGTTTTGTACGGTAAAGTGAATCACAATATTATTGATTAACCTTTTAATCAGCTTTTTTAAGGTTAATTTGAACAAATTAAACAATCCAATTTGGTAAAAACTGAACAACAGAAAAAAGAAACTTTTTTTCTCTCTCTCTTCACTCAACTACCTCAAGAGAGATGTAAGTGTTGAGACCACAAAAGATGGGAAAAAGATGATGAAGAGAAGGATAAAGATGAAGATAAATAAAGCTTAAAGGTTGAATGTTTTATAGCGTGATGACACAAATGAGCGGGTTAAACTGTCTTGTACAGTGTTTTTGGTAACAACACAATTGAAGGGCAAAAAATGGTGGCAAAGAGGAATAGATGGAAACATCAGTTGCAGTGTAAAAGTGGATCAAGATGAGGAGCAAAAAAATGAGAGTTGAACAAGAAAATTTAATTAATTTGATGACAAAGCCAGTCTTTTAATTAATTAAAATGGGAAACAATGGAAATGGTTCAATGTTTTTTGTTTCCCTGAAAAAGGTAACAAAAAAAGGTCGCCAATGAAGACAACATTATTCAACATCCCAAAGGATTTTATCATTTAAAAGGTTTATCTCTTTATCATTGTTCATCTTTCTCTCCTCTTTATCATCTCCATCTTCATCCCGAATCATCTTCTTCTTCTTAATCTTTCATCTTCACTCCTTTTGCTTCATTGACAAAAGTGTCAAATACTATTGTCCTTATGATAATTAGTGAATCCTTTTTTTGCCTCAACAAATGATTCCGATGCCAGTCTTTTTTAATAATCATATTATTTGGGAAACAATAATCAAATCATTCATCTTTTCATTATTATTAATTAGTATTTACTTTGTACTTTTGTCAGCGACACATTTCAACGCTAACCATTTCAATTATGTCAAACAATTAACTGTATAACTTTTAATTTAATAATTCATTTCATCCATCACTTTACACATTATTTGACACTTTATTTTTACCTTTCCTTTGTTTTTCAACTTTCAACACTTTTTTTCATTCCCAGTTATTGGATTAATTAATATCAAAATTTTCGTCATTTCAATAAACTTTTCATTAATTTCATTATTCATGTCGAACTGGGATTCCCTTTGAGTTCCATTAAAGTTCTCAATCTTTTGTCACTTATGTTTATTCATATTTATGAACCTTTCGAGTTTCTCTTCTTTCAAATTTTCTTTACAACTTAAATATTCCGAAATTTTCCATTTTTTCACCTTTTTTCAGTTTCGACGGTTTTACGAATAAAGTATTCGTTCGTGTTTTGATTGGAAAAGTTTGGGTTCAGCTTTAGAATTGGATTTTCAGGGTTTCGATAATGAATTTTGAGTATTTTTAAGTTTTATGTTTTCGTTTTCAAGATCAATTCGAAGTTACGAAGGGAATTTAAACTGTTTTGGACTTCGATGATTCGGTTTTGCCTTTTGTCTTAGTTTTCATTTGTGTTTGAATGGTTTATAGTTGAGTGTTTGAGCGAAACTGTGGATAACTGATGATGTTTACAATTTAATGTCATCTATTTGAGCAAACATCGTTCATCATGATCATAAAGTGAAATGTGTAGATAAAGAAATGATGAAAAGATGGAAAAGGAAATTGATTTGAATTTCTTTTGAACTGCAAGATGATGATGAAAGGGAAAAAAATTCACAATAAGTTGAACATTGTAAGCTCCTATTAAATTGAAAAATTTAACTTAGATTGTCAAGAATTCGGCAAAGTTTTTTTTCTTCTTCTGCTCTACTCTGGACTGGGAGAGGAAGAAAGAGAGAGGAGAGAAGATGAAAAGAGGAAGATGAAGTAGAAATAGAAAATAAAAGTTGCAAGAAAATGGATAAAAAACACATCAATCATTCAATAGATTCTTAGCAGAGTAGAAATAAAAAAATTCTGAAATCATTAATCGAAATTCATCTAATCATTGGATTGAGTAAAGTGAATCAACTGCAATTTTGCAGTTTCCTTCATTCCGACAATTCGGTCGCTCAAAGTAAACCTTAAACAGTATCGGAGTCAAAAAAGTGACGAAAAAATTGCTATTTAGTATTTCAATCGAAACTTTAGGAAAAAAGTTTATCTAATTTGATCTAATTTCATATTTTATGTTTTAAATCGTGTTAAAAGTCACTGAATGGCAAACATTAAACAATTATCTGGTAACTTGGGAACAAGATTTGCGGTTCGAACATAGTTGACCAAAAGATGTTTGTTTGTTTAATGCTTTTTTAGGGTCTATTTTGTCTCAAGTTTCAAGTGTCCAATATTCGAGGGGCGATCGTTTAATTTCTCATGTTTCGATCATTGGATGGTCTTCAAATGCGATCTTTGCATTTCACATCAATAGAAATTAGAAACCTGTAAACGCTTTAACAGATTGAGCACTTGATACTGAAGGAGGAGACTTAAGGCTTTAAACAGCAAAAATCTTGATTCAGATTCTGGTTGATGATTAACTCGAACCATCAGAAATTAATATTAGCCTGCCCAAGTATTCAATGATCGGTTAACACGGTGAATATTGCCAGTATCGAAAAAGGGAAAAAGTTTAGCAACAAATTTGTTATTTCAGTTCAAAAGACTCAGAGAGTTGGCGATTCTGTAAACGAATCTTTATCAAAATGAGGTTCCAACGGAAAAGCCAAAAGCTTTTATAAAGTTGATTGCTTGATGCTTGAATGATGAAACTTTCTTTTTTCGCTAAAAAATTATTCTGATTAAAGCCGTTCGAGAACGTTGATCCAACAACTGGAAACCTTTTCTTCTTGGATTTCAATCTCACTACCAGAAATCTTATGTATAAATTCAGCAAGAAAATCTGTAAAATTCATTTTCTATTAAAAAATTCTCAACCAAATCTCAAATCTATGTATTTATTCCTTCGATTTCGGTAAAACTTTATATTTCAAAGCTTTTAATTAGCAAGTGACAAGGTTTGAACCTTATTTACTGATGTGTTTTGATGTCGAATGTCAAAACCTTTTTACTCCAGAGAGCTCTCATTATATCTCATTGATGTATGTATTGACTGTTCGACGGAAATCGGTTACACTGTTTGTACATTGAGTTTATGGTGAATAATCGAGTGAAATAGCAGTCTTATCAGAACATGGGATTTGCCTGTTGAGTAAAATCGTTAACAGATTTTTGCAAATCCCAAGATTTCCGAGGCTTTAAATGTGTTCTTTAGCAAACGCAAGACGTCAGTAAAGCTAAAATTTGCCAATATTTTGAAAGTGTGCAAAACTCATTTCATCTGTTTATTCACTCCAATCTGGTGATATTTTTCATTCAAACCCCAAACCAGCAGATTGAATCATGAATAACTTTTGTTATCTGATTGGACATTTGAATATTACTTTTATTACGTTTAATGGCTCTTGAGTTTCATTTTAATGGGACTGACATTTGAAAGGGCAAATAAAGTTTTGTTATCAGATTCAAATTGAATAGTTGATCAAGATAATGTTGTTGAAGCAATGTTCATTGTTCACTGAAGAACCTGAAACTAGGCGTAATTAGCCTGAATTGATTGAGGCTTGAGGCTTGCAAAAGTATGAATCAAATGTGGCCATTCAATTCGCCTTGATAAACAACCAAAATGCTCATTGAAATTTGTTAACTTTTTTTTCATTTCTTGAAACAAAACTGCAATTTATCATCATCATGACTAACCTAAAATGTTGTTTTTATTAAGTGCAACTTAAACCGCATTTAGACTGTAATTAAAATGAACATTTGATGAGCGCCATTATATCAAGAAATGAACATAAAAAAGTCTATTTTTTAATAATTACTTGGATAAACAAGAAACCTAAAGAAGAACGAAAAAAATATGAAATTTTACCCAAATAATTACACTTTTAAAGACTATAATTATTGCTATTACCTTTGAACAATCTCAAGATTCTGACATTTTAAGTGATCATTTGAGCAAAAGGTTCATTAATGGTGAAATGATTTGAGTAAAGGAAAAGGAAAAGAACATGAAATTTGAATATTTGGAGTGTTCAGTGAATATTGAATATCGAGATGGTAATGATGGTGGTTAGAGTCAAAGAGCCATTTGAAAAGGTTAAGTTGATGATGTTTACAGTTATCATTTGATGGACAGAAGGAGTCATTTTTTATGCTCTCAAATGATCACTTAACATGATGATGATTCAAATTTACATAATGTTGATCAAGGGTCAGGGAAGATGAAAGGATAGGGAAGGATGAAAGGGATGATGATGAGTGCGGAAACAAATGAATGGACAGATGAAAGTGAAGGTGTTAATATTGATGCTCTTTTTTTTCAAATCATTTGTATATTATGCTCGTATGATGGATTACATTTGATTGAACAGTGCAACAGTCAGATGATTATATTTATAATGATGAAAAATAATATAACCAAATGAAGATGATGATGATAAGGCAAGGTTTCTCTTTCTTCTTCTTTCCTTCTCTTATTAAGGAACCACAAAAAAAAAGACTTTCAATACTTTATTTTTGGCCCTGGAAAACGTTTTTTATTGATAATGCAGTTATACACCAAATAATATAATAATATTAATAATAATAACAAAGAGATGATAAAAAAACTCTAAGATCAGCATCTCTTTATATTTATTCAAAGTGACATTGATTGATTATTTGTGAAAAAAAAA